ATCCTAACTTTCCTCATTTCCTTAAATTTACAATAATAATGAAGAAGACGAAAATTTGAGATGAAAATTTATGACTAATAAATTATATTATTAAATTAATTAAAACATATAATATTACAGGTAAAAAAAGTTAATTAATAAATAATATAATATTTACTTTTTAATATTTTAAATAACATAACTTATATTCTCTTGTTAATCTTAAATTTGAGTTTTATTTATTATTACTCTTAGCTATTTTTTGACTAATATATTTTAGTGATACATGATGATATAATAGTTAAAATTTTAAAATTAAAAATTAAAAACTTCAAATTTAATTTTTAAAATGAGTGTAATAATATTAACGGAAAAAAAGGACGATCACTTGATATATTAAAAAAATAATATATCAATTAGATCATGAGAAATCGCATGTTTATTTGCCGTGTAAGCTCCACCTCAGCGCCAACGAAGTAGCAAGATAACGGAGCGGCATACTAACGGTTCATGATGTCGTCCTAATGAAAATAGCTCATTTGCACTGTTTTGCAACCGAAAAGGGGTGGGGTGCCAATTAAAAAACTAGAGGGAGTCATCCGCCACAACATTGTATCTGGAGGGCCTCAATTGTAACTTCAGCCTACATTTAAATTTAGCCAATGACGAAATAACTCGTAGCCTGTGGATGGTTACCATCGCCTAGGTTTTAAGAGAGGCAAGCTGCTTCAAGTCCCTTTCCTCCCCAGCAGTTGTAGGTCATCTATACCGATATCAATGGCTTTCTGGGGTTTGTTTTCTTTTTTTTTTTTCCTTCTTTTCCATCGATTTTGTGGTAGAATTTCGCCGTTCATAATTCAATTTCTATAACGAATTGTGTTATTTTGACAGGGATTGAAGTAAAACCTGGAAAACCATTCACTCATTCTACTGGAAAAGGAAGGCTTCATGTTTCCCTGGTATTCTGATTTCTAGATGCTGTTTCGGATATTTCTTTTGATGAGGGATTGAAGTTGTTCTTTTTTGTTTCTTTATATATATATATTGGAATCTTCATTTTGTTGCTGGTTTTTGATATTGATTTTGAAGCCGCTTTTTTTTTTAATTTTTTTTTTCTGATTTTATATTTTAATTTACTTGATAATTAAAGAAAAAGGATCTTAGTTGTTATAAATGGTCTCTTATTAAATTAGATTGTGATTATGTCTCCATCTTTGTTGCAACTTGAAATTTAGCTGAGCAATTGTTATTGTTAAATGTTCATTTTAATGGATATGTGTATTGTGTTTTATACCTAATGTTTTACAATGGAATTTTGTTAGTTTAAGTTGTATATGACTATAAAACGAAAGCTTTCTTGATGCTTGAAGTTTTCTAAGAACTGGATTTTTCTCTTGCTTTTCATTTTCTATTTTGTTATGTAATATCATATTGTCATGATTGTTTGCCCAGGCAACCTTAGGAACTGGAGCTGCGTCAAAGAAAAGCATTGTTCAGTGCAATGTGGGAGATAAGAGTCCAGTATTTCTGTGCTCTTTGTTTCCTGAGATAGCTGAAACTTGTCAGCTGAATGTGGAATTTGAGGAGAATGATGAAGTTATATTCTCTGTTATTGGTCCTCGAAGTGTTCACCTGGTTGGTTATTATCTACAAAATGGTCGGTGTGCCACCCTAGATGATGATGAATTGTATCCTTTTGTTGGCTTAGGAAGTTATTTCTTGCACAAATGGTTCTACTTTTTTTTTTTTTCTTTTTTGCATTATATACAAAATATTCCTTAGTGACAGTGGAACATCATAGAATTATGATTTAGATGTTTTTTTTTTTTTTTGATTCAAGCAAACTTGGACCACAAAATTTTGAACTTTGTTATTTTTTTAGACTGTCCCTGTTTAATTGGAGAAGGGTGTAGAAAGAAACTATTTATTCCAAATTTCTTTTCAAATTCTTTTTGTTTACCTGATCAACTGCAAGGTTACTATTGTTGTTTTCTTGGAATGTTTCTATGAACTGCTTTGTACCTTCACTACATTGGTCAGAGAATCCTATGGAGAAGATATTGCAGATACAGAGACAGAAAAATCTGATCATAGTGATGAAGATGATTATGAGGATAGTTTCATAGATGATGATGATGATCGAGCACCTTCAATTGATGGAAGTATGTCCTGTTCTTTTAAACACACTGCATCTCCACCTTTAAACACAATCCAACGTAAATTATGTTTTTTGCTGTTTCTTGCTTTCCTATGTCCATTTTCCAATTGTAAATATGTGTTTTACTGTGCTTTAAATTTTAAATGTGCAATTGTTCTATCAGATCACACTGTCCAAGTTTTACTAGGCTGTCATTGTCACCAAATATGAAATAAATATGTATTGCAGTTCTTCTTTGTCATAACCTTGGTTACTATAACTCTTTTCAATCCTATTCAGAATATTTTGGTTTATGATAGACTATTATTTAATTGAAACTTTTTATATTTTATTCATTTCATTCCATTATTTTAGTTTCATCAACTTCCTTAACGTAAACTTTATTTTGAAGGAATTTGCTTCATGAATTTTTCCATCTAAAATTTGTGCTTAATTTTCAGTAATTGAGGAGACACCGCAGAAAAAGAAACCAAAGAAAGGGACCAAACGACTTAGGAGGAAGTACCATGTGAGTGAATCTGAGAATGATGACAGTCCTGAAAAGCAAAATTTTGTCACATCTAGCTCTCCTGCGAAGAACTTGGACACTGAAAGTGAAGACAATTTGCTTATTTCATCTCTCTGTGAGGGTAATTCTGTATCAAAGAGCTTAGCATTGGATGAAGAAAATGCTGAAAAAGAAGAAGAGATGGCCCACATCAAGGAAACTACAAATAAAGGTTATTCTCTTTCGCTTTCCGAAAGGACTGATGTTGCTGCAGATGTTAAGCATCAAAGGTAAGATTGCTGACCAGCAAATATGACAGTATTTCTTTTTTGTGAACTTTTAGTCTTTTATTCTGGAAGTTTAGGTTGTGCTTCTGAAAGGAAAAACAATCAAATGAAATAATATTAGTTAGATTTATTTTGTTATCTAATATAATGATTTTTACCATCATATACAAGGAAAAGTTCATGCATATATGTGAGAATGCATACAACAATGTGCTGAAACTAATGGCAGCACAAGCTTTTGAAGGTGTGCAGGAAATAGGTTTTATTATGTTTCTGTCATCTGGGAATGCATACAAAAGCAAATCTAAACTGTTTGTTAAAACTTAGAGTAGTCAGCCGTAGCCATTAAATAGATAAGATTTGAGGGTTGCAAATGGTTAACCCAGTTTTGGCTCAGTTATTCTTGAAATATTATTTATTTATGTTTTTGTAACATACATACCCTGAAGTTTTGCTTTCATCTGAGATTGTCTTTAATGGTGCTCTACCAACCTCCATAACTATTTCTGCTGCCACAACAGTGGACTGGATGCTGAAAATGACACAGATCCACAGAAGAAAATTAAATACCAGCAAGATGAGGCAACTGGCAGCCTCTGCCAGGATCTCCAAATGAAATGCGAGCCAAATGAGAAGCATGTGCTTGACAGGGAAGAAGGTTCAGTTCCAAATAACCTTAAAAAATTAGGAAAGGAAGAAAATTTTCCAGGATCTAGTTGTGATGATGATGGCATTGCTTGCAAAGACAATGCCCAGAAGCAAGGGGGAGAGCTGGAAAATATGCAGCAGGGTCTACCACAGAGAAATGAACAAAATGAAACATCGGAAAATAATGAGTAATGGAGCATCAATCGATTCTGATCCTAATTTCTTTTAATTCTAGTACATATGGTTACAAATCAACAATTCTTATTTGTTTCTTGTGGATTTTTTTCTGAAAGAAATATTTATTCTTTTGCAAAACAGCAACCTAATGTGCTCTAGTTGCAGTGAAGGGAATGTGCCACTTAATCTCCTGCAACAAACTGAGGTGGACCTCTCAGAAGATGATGCAAAGCCAAAGAGAAAGAGGAAACATAGATTAGAAGAGAAAATTCCTGGAGACATTGTCATCAAAGAGGGTGAGAGCCAGACAACTGAGGCGAACTCTGACAGCTCAGCCAAAGATCTACCTGTTAATAAGGAGCAAACTGAGATGCATGGCAATGACAAGTGAGTATTATAGTGTACTTCTTGGCTTTTGATTTCTTTATTTATGCACAACCAAATGAAACAATGTACTTGATCTAAATAGTGATTTGCTTCTATCATAGTTGTGAATAGTAGTGCACTATCAGATCTACTAAACAAGGGGCATCTTGAGTTTTCTGATTAAATTGGATTAACAGCCCAATGCATTTGCCTTTTCTTGAAAAAAAGAAATAAGAAAAAGAGAGTCCATTGCTGTTAGGAATATTTTCATCTTGTTTATTTATAGTTTTAGATAAAATTTATGTTAAAATTACTTAGGGAAGCTAGAATTGAATGTTCCCACTGAAGAGTCATTTTCAAATATGTATTCATTAAACATGATTCCTGATTTTTTTTCCTCTTCACTATTGGCAGAAACTTTGGAAGTGATGCTGATGGAATTGTAGTTGAGAATCATTCTGGAGGAAGGAGAAAGAAGAAGAGGACTAAGAATCTGGAGAATGGGGATGAAATGAAGTTTGAATTACCTTCCTTATCAGTTGACATTGAGGCCAACAATATTGATGGCCAGTCAACTCAACTTAGGACCTTGTCAAATGGATTAATCATTGAAGAGGTAGAAACAGGGAAACAAGATGCCCAAATAGCTACCCTTGGGAAAAAGGCAAGTAGCCTTAATTTCTATCCAATTGATTTAGAAATGATATCATTTTTCATTATTCATTCTGGGGGCTTCAGCTGAGCCAATTGATGAACAGAGTTGTATGTTCGCCCTAGTCTTTCTGGGGTTTGGGTGTTTTGCTGCTGCTTCCATAATGAACCCTACTTTGAATATTCTGCGGTAGTGTTTTGGCCAAATGTGATAGAAATTTAACTACTTTATCAACTGTATAACTTTGGTTTTCAGGTTAGTATCCGCTACACTTGCAAGTTAAAGGAAAGTGGCGACGTATTGGATTCAAATGTTGGAAAAGTACCATTGAAGATTCGGCTAGGTGGTACCATGTTATTATCCTGTTTTTCTGAGTATTACATTATTTTAGGTAATGATTTGCAGGAAAACCTAATTTTGCTTTATAAATTTTAAACATGGTGCTCTTACAGGTAAGAAAGAAGTTGAAAATGTTTGGGATCTTGGCCTTGATGGTATGTACTTAATGCTATTTTCCCTCCTTAATAGATTTGAATGTCCATTTATCAGCAGCATGTTCCAATGATTGTAATAAGTGCATTGTTTCTCAGGCATGCAAGTTGGTGGCAAAAGAAGACTAATTGTTCCACCATCATTGGAGTATGAGTCTACGAGATCAAGAACTTTGTTAATTGCAGAATATTTTCCATTTCTCTTCATTTTCTTTTATAGTTCTTTTGAATGATCCGTCTTATTTGCATGATGCAGTTGTAGGGTGAAAGGTGTTGGCAAGAATATCCCCCCAGACTCTTTTGTGGTGTTTGATGTGGAATTGATAAAACTGAAGTGATTGTTTTTGCCATGGCGTTTTTGGTTTTGCCCGCCTTTCCACTAAAGCTATATCTAAGTCGTGATGAATGTTGCCCCCAACCACTGGGTTTATTAGTTTATTGGCTACCTTGAGATGTCTTTGAAGAAGAATTTTGCTTTTTGGTATTTAACAGTGGGTGTAAATGAGTGCGTGTAAGAACAACTTCTGAGTAATATATTCAAGCAAATTTTGAGAAGTATTCTTGCTCGAATGAAAGGGTTAAATGATGTGTAATAGGTAATCACTATTTTGCGTATTCACGTTCAGTCAATTATTTGGTACGCTTTTACTACAGGAATTTAGAATCAGCCATTCTCAGGAGGTGTAGGGTGCCCCTATAACCATCGAGTTGAAGCAAATTATCATATGAAAAGAAGCTCGACAGAAAAATGCTACCTCAAAAAAACTCTCTTAAGAGATTTTGACCTAAGTTTACAAATTGTTGATTAGGTTGCATGGTGCTCATGTGGACTCCAATGCATCTTCATTAATCTGAAGGATTTCTTTCTCTCTAACCGGACACCAATTGGAGCCAATCAAAGAATTCTAAATCATGCGAAACTTTTCTAAGCAATTTTTATGTAAAATTTTTATATGGTATTAAATGAGAAAATGTATATAATATTAAAAGTTTTAGATAAAAAATTAATTATTAAATAATATAAAAAAAATATTATTTCTCAATCATTTTACATGGGACAATTTAAATCAAGTTTGTGCTTGTGGGATCCGAATAGAAAAAATTTGAAAAACTTCTAAACTCCCAAACTTATCCCAAATTAACACAAGAACCTTTAAATTGAAAATAATGCAAATAAGTCTTCAAACCCCTCACTAATACAAATTAATTCTTAAATGCATGTGACCTCACACTATCTATTTTTTTCCTTCATTTGGTCTCATTTTTTTACGCAAATGTTAATGTAGATCAAAAAAACTCTTGAACCATGAAAATTCCACTAAAAGAGTCTATATAATTCTTTTATTTAGTGTTCTTATATCACATGAACTTTACAAACTTTCATGTAACATATAGTTGCATACTTTAAATTTGTGGAGTTTATTTAAACTTATTAACATTTTTAAGTGAAATGGACTTATTTCATCTTATATCATTACTTAATCGAATCATCTTCTCAATTGATC